CTCTCTCTCTCTCTCTCTCTCTCTCTCTCTCTCTCTCTCTCTCTCTCTCTCTCTCTCTCTCTCTCTCTCTCTCTCTCTCTCTCTCTCGTGTGTGGACATATGTACAGCAATGGTGGGTGATAATCAGCCACCACCTAACACAAAGGTTCGCTTCTGCCATCGATTTGCATCATCTGATCAACGACCAAGCGATAATGAGGCAGCAGGGTTGCGTTGCAACAGACTACCGTCATCCATCTTCACCTGAACACGACACACCCTCAGTTGAATGCATACAAGCTTATATTTCTGTTCCAGCACAGTCATGATGAAGATATGTTGTGTTCATCATGAGGGGAACACACAGGCACAAGGAATTTGGTGTGCCCGGAAGAATGAATGAACGGCAACGAGAGCACAAAATGAGAAACAGCGGGGATATCATTTCAGCTCCCAGGCTGAACTGAAGGGGGGTTGCACTGAAGCGAACGAAGCGACGTAACTTGTGCTTTTTAACTCATGGTCTGGAGCGCAATGAGTTCAAGCCGAACATTACATTACACGACATGATTACTAGCTAGGCACGTGCCCCGTCACTTCGTCGATGTTTCGATGGGCGCTTGTTCGAATCTTCTGGCCAAGCGATCGGACGCTTGGCTATCGTTGGATCTTGCCTAGCCGCTTCCTTAAGCGCCTCCTCTCGCGCCTTCTTAACCACCTCCTCCACATTCTCCTGCTCCATTACAAAACCACAAGCGCACGGAATGCCGACACACAAAACGAATATCAGAAACAGACACCAAGCAAAACAAATGCAAAGGAAGGCAAAAAAAAAAAAAAAAAAAACAGTGAAACACATTCATGATGGTGATGGACTGACTGAATGAAACTCTCCACCCACTTCAGAGTTTTTGTCTTTCAGATGTCCAACTTATCCAAACGGCCGAAAAAGGTATGATCCCACCCTCTCTCTCTCTCTCTCTCTCTCTCACACACACACACACACACACACACACACACACACACACACACACACACACACACAAACTTGCAGCCCAAGTCATCATCAATACAGCAATCATTTGTTCATGCACACAGTTGATAGACGAACCTTTGGAGCCCCATCCCATTTTCCACCTTGCTTGCCATTCCACTTTCACACATGCTACCCCCCCTCAAAGCAAAATAATTTGCCTCACACAAAGCTGAGTTTTCTTTCTTTCCTTTTGTTCTTTTTTTTTTCAACCTTGAAAGAAGCAGCCTGGGCCTACTCGGGAGGTTGATATGAGCAACCCCCCCTAGTTGGGCCCTGCAGGATCCTCCAGTCTATCTATTGGTGGGGAGCCGCACCTGCTCGTTATTAAACACAAAAGAGAGCCTCACCTGAGTCCAGAGGCTGCACTTCTTGCACTGAGTGCACTTTTTTCCCGGGTCTCGGGGATGCTGCACAATGCCAAGAACATAGTCAAGATACAGACGCAAGAGACAAACCGGAAGCCATTTCCAGTAAGAAAATCAACTTTGAAATTCCAAGCCCCCAATGAAGCAGAGACTGCCAACCATTTTCCCTGATCAACCACATCATTTCAAAATCCAGATCCAGGCCGATGAAGAAAGCAAAAAAACGAACCTAGACTGAAAGAATATACAGGTACGGTCAGGTTGCCGTACGGTGAGGTTCGTCCGCTTCCGCTTCCGCTTCCACTTCCACTAGGGCTGAGGGGATTGGCCCAGCCTTGGTGCTTGTCACTGCTGTCTGGTCCAGGTTGCCCTCAATACTGTGATAAGGTGATGGTCCTGAGTGCTGGTCACACTGAGGTAGGATAGGAGGGACAGCGGCGGTTGCGCTGGGAGTATTAATGTGGGGATGGGTAGGGTAGGTGGGGCCTATCCTTTCCGGCCAACCATTGGCTGCTGCTGCCAGCAATCACCGCCGGTCTGGTCCTTGGCCTCTACAACACCCTATAGTAGGGACAGCGGTTGCTTGTCACTGCTGTCTGGTCCAAGTTGCCCTCAATACTGATAGGGTGCTGGTCACACTGAGGTAGGATAGTAGGAGGGACAGCGGCGGTTGCGCTGGGAGTATTAACGTGGGGATGGGTAGGGTAGGTGGGGCCTATCCTGTCAGGACAACCATTGGCTGCAGCTGCTGACAGCAATCGCCACGGGTCTGGTCCTCGGCCTCTACACACCGCATCTGTGCCTCATCCCACACACTCGATGGGTGGGCAGCGAACCTCCCTTCCACTAAGATGCGATATCCTGCCCTCCCCTATCCTAAGCATGATGGCTACCGACCGAAGGTTTCCTAAGAATCCACAATCCCATTAATTCCGCTGATAAGAATTCCCACGAACCCCAGCCTGGATGAAGCACCACCTCCAGGCATCGTGAGATACCTGGGGGATGAGAATTGCCCAGTACCTACACCATACTAACACCCAGTGTGTGTGTATCCCCCCCCGAGATGGGCCTACCATAGTCTAAGTTGGCTCTGCGTGGACTCTCGTTCGGGTGCCATAGTGACGGGAAACTTACTGGTTGTACCCTGGCTCGACAGTGGCATCCCCACGAACTAGTGCATACTGACGAGACTGACAGATGGGAGGGTGCAAGTGGCCACGCAGAGGGGTATCGACGACGGTTTCCACCCCGGCGCATGGTGGAGCCACGATAAGACCCTGATCCTCAGACCAAGCAGCCCTCCCTATCGCCCCATCCTATCCATCATACTACTACCACGGCTAGACCCCTTCCGTGGTGCCTAGGCAATGTCTGTACATCTTACCACTCGTCCCCTATGGCACGGGAAACTTACTGGCCATACCCAGGCTCTACCGTGGCATCCCCATGAACTACCGTCTTCCCCCAAACACAACGCACCCTCATTTTGACTGTATCGGGCCGGAAACATACCTTGTATACGTTCATTTTCAGGGTGCGTTATGTTCGGGGGAAGACGGTAGTCCATACCGACGAGACTGACAGATGGAAGGGTCCAAAGAGGCCACGAGGCCACGCAGAGGTATCGACGACGGTTTCCAACCCTGGCCCATAGTGGGGCGAAGATAAGACCCTGATCCTCAGACCAAGCAGAGCCCTTCCTATGGCCCTATCCTATCTACTCTTTCGGCGGTGCCCTGTAGTTCATTGTCTGGGCCTGGCATCCGAAGTTTCCGTTCAACAAGGTTCGTCCGATTCCGCTTCCACCAGGGCTGGGCAATCTATCAGCCCTGGTGCCTATCACTGCTGTTCCGTCCAAGCTGCCTGCCCGTTGGTAGGGCAATGGTCCTGAGTGCTGGCCACACTGAGGTAGAATAGTGGGATAGGATGGGCTGGGAGGTGGTCTCATATTCCAGGCCACCCACGGCTCACAGTTCCAGGTGATCACTGTGCACACACTGACTGGCCTCTCCAACACCCTGGACATTCTTAAAAAAAAAAAAAAAAAAAAGTTAGCAGGAACCTGGCCATTCTTTCCGCACATGTTCATGCAAGTCCAATCATGGACTTGGCTGGAGTCTGGTCTGGCCCTATTCCCCTTGAGTTTGGCAGGTACATCAGTAACCCACAAAAGACCCCACAGGTGATCACTGTGCACACGCTGACTGGCCTCTACAACACCCTGGACTTTGACTCGTCCCAACGGTCACGAGCTTTTTCAACTGGCTTGTGCGTTCTGAAAGCACTGGGAGTGTACATGCGCGAGGCTGCAAAAGAGTTTTGAACCTGCAACCTCATGCCACAATGCACATTTCCAACAGGTGCTCTAACCACTCCATTCTACACATTATCTTTTGTTCCTGGAACTTTTATGTTTATTTATTTTTTGGCGCTGGGGATGCCCGGGCGTGTATCCGGCCACAAGTTGGGTGCCCGGGCGCCCAGACAAACACTCTACTGAGTCTAGCAGAAAAGGTTTTGTTTTTTCATTTTCACACTTTTTTATATTCATGTCGCACATGATGGCATGCATAATATTGCATGTCCATCAACTAGCACGATCCGACAAACCACTCAGATCTACAAACTATACATAACAAAATTACAAATGGATACAATGATACTACACCAGGCGAAGAAAAAGTACGACGGAGAAGAGGCGCGTGTGAGTTCGTCTGTGTGTCTGCATGCATGTGTGCGTGTGTGTTTTAGATTTTCCCCACAACAGCCCCAATTCCACCCTGGTGAATAGATTCAGAATCAAAGCAGTGTTTATCCTATCGCAGACAACGAGAGCATTTGAGATGTCCAACATATTAAAGCAATTTTATAATTAGACAGTTTTTTTGTTGTCCTTGGGGTACCCCTTTCATTGTTCTTGCAGCTCCCCTTTTACTGTAGGCTGCCCACATTGATTGTGGTTGAGCGGCAGCTGCCCACATCCCCGTGTGCCTTCACGGCCCACTTGCACGTTATTTCAGGAGTCTCTGTGTGTGTGTGTGTGTGTGTGTGTGTGTGTGTGTGTGTGTGTGTGTGTGTGTGTGTGTGTGTGNNNGAGAGAGAGAGAGAGAGAGAGAGAGAGAGAGAGAGAGAGAGAGAGAGAGAGAGAGAGAGAGAGAGAGAGAGAGAGAGATTTGCCCTATTCTGGCGAACGGTGGAACTCACCCGACAAAAGTGTTCATAATCCTGAATCGTCTCTCGACAAACATAGCACATGTGCTGCCCGCATCGACACGTGATCTAAACAGAACATCAAAAACAAACACCACACGAGCAAGAGACAATGACAAAGATTGGAAAATAAGGCCCGCTAGCCATATACCAATAGAAACGAAGAGTGTGACAAATGTACTGAGGCCTTCCTCATTTTAACTTTTCCGGTTACTCACTATATGCACGTATGTAACTTTATATACCACAGGACACAGATGGAGAACAAACGGGAAAAGAGAGACACACACACACACACACACAGAGAGAGAGAGAGAGAGAGAGAGAGAGAGAGAGAGAGAGAGAGAGAGAGAGAGAGAGAGAGAGAGAGAGCACTGTATCAGGGGCATTTTGCACTCCGCACTTATATACATCAAGAGGAAGTTGAGGAGAGAGAATGCAAAGAAAATACTACTTACTTTATTGCACCCATCATTCTTCACCAGCTCAATTCCACAAGATTTGCATGTGCGAAGCACAGCTTTTGTCATCATCTGCAGCACAGAAGTGCAACCGAGAGCTAGTTAGGAGAGGATCTGCCAAAGGAACCTGGTCTGGTTTGCAGTAACATACAGAAATCTTATGGCAATAAATATTATGCGAGTGCTAGTTAGGAGAGCATCTGCCAAAGAATCTGGTCTGGGTTCATTCAGTCACATACAGAGATACTACACCGATAAATAGTATGTGAGCGAAGTCCAAAAAGGTTGGTTGGTCTTCCCCCCTACTATAAGTAGACTACAGAGAGTATGACAACTCAGGGTACATTGTGTGTTTAAATTAAAAAAAAAAAAAAAAGGTACATTGTGTTTGGGAGAAGATGGAAGTGCAGTCCATCGCAAAGGGCGAGTATTGGGCTCTAATATGGCACCCCTGGAGAGCAAGGAATCGAAAAAAGGGGTGAGGACATGGGCCAGATGGGGTGAAGATGAGCAGTGGAGGGATAAGCCACAAACCTCTTCCACTTTGACTCTCAGGTTCATCTCCGTTTTCTGCACAATCGACAAGCATCAAAAGACGAGCCAACAAATTACTAAAATGCCCTCAACATAAAACGCCCAGGTAGCAACGCACTAAATGGGATGGAGGGAAAGTTTAAGGGATATTCTCTTCTTTTTTTTTCCCCTTTTTTAAAAGCAAAAAACTATGCTACATTCTTCTCTCGAATCTTTCATCATCTTTCAAATTATTCTTTCAATTCACCTAACCTTCACTACCTACCTACGTACCTACCACTACTCCTAACTTCCTAAGGCTTACTTATACAGGGGACCTCTTCAAACATAGCTTTCTGTTGTCTCCCTCCAGCCATCAGAGTGGATGCATGTATTATTATTATTATTATAATAATAATAATAACAATATTATTATTATTATTATTATTATTATTATTATTATTATTATTATAAGGAAGAAGTTGGGGGAGTAAAAGGAGGTTGGAGATGGTGTTGAGATGAAGGGGGATTGACATTGGTCATTGCCCTTCTCCTCCTTCTTCTACTTCTACTTCTTCTACTTCTTCCTTTGTCTATTTCTCGTTCCAAGTTCTTCCATTTTGTATATGGGACGCTGGACCCGTTTTCCAGCAGGTGCTGCTCCCCACCAATAGATGGAGCCTCCCCTCTGGTGCTAGTGGTGTCTGATCTTATCAGCACCACTAGTACGGGCAGGGGCGTGTTTAAAAAAAAAAAAAAAACGAAAAAAAAAAAAAAAAAAAGGTCTTCCATTTCAGTTGCCATTGAACGACATTGTCTATTCGAGTCATTGCGCTGCGAGTAAGCCAAAAATGGGAACCGGGAAAAAAAAAAAAAAAACATGACAGAGAATTCACATTCTTTGCAAAATTGAAGAGTCATTTGACCACCAAAAAGGGAAACCGAAAAAAAAAAAAAAAAAAAGGGACCTACCTTTTCAACTTGTTCACATTTGAGCGGCCTGTGGTCAGGCTCCTTACAGAGACGGCAAGATCCCTGCACACACAGAGAGAGAGAGAGAGAGAGA